GTTCCGTGCTACTCAATGTGGAATTTAGGCATCTTACACTACCTTAATGTCCTTATTTGGCCCCCCTTTAGAATCAACATCCTAGTCTATGTACTTTGCAACAATTTACTTGACCTTTTTCCTAATTTTGAACCCTCAACTAGTTAGAACCTTTTTGTGGATAGCCTTTTATGAGACTTTTGACCAGGTGAGAAAGGTGTGTCTTTCCCAGTCCTCTCAAACTAGGGAAAGGTCCTCCCAATGCTCTGATGCCTTCAACAATATGCGTCAAACTATCTCACAAATTCTGAACCCAACTTGATCACTTTAATGGGTGAACAGTCCTGCTCTTGGAACATCTACAGTCCCAGGTGGCAAAGAGTTGACGTTGTGGTGCCAAACCTTCAATTGATGCGAGCTCTTGGGGAAGATAGGTTTGTTGTCCCTAAAGTAACTTTTATTCATTAAGTGATGGCCTTTCTCCTCGACACTGTCAGATCATAAAGGCTGACTTCATCTGCAGCTTTGTTGAAAACATATCTCGTCATTTTCTGATTTTTTTTTTTCTTTGAATGAGGCTGGCTCCATCAAATTTTGGCTGAGAATTGTCCAGTATTATACCACTAATAGACAATGAAAGGGAGAAGAGGAAAAGTGGAGAGAATTAAGAGGGGGAAAGCAAGGGAAATAGAAAGAACAGAGACAGAGAGACGGGGGGAGTGAGAGAGAGATTAGGAAAATTGAGACTCTTATTGCTCAAATCATCATTCATACAATGATTTCCCAGTACACTTCCCTTGCCCCTTCTATAGACACAATCACCCAACGCCCCCCCCTTTCCCTTTTCCTATAGCTGCCCCCACCAACTTCTAAACTGGTCACTTTATCACTGATACCATTGGTTGGTAAGAATAAGATTGAAGAGAGAAATTGGAGAGAAAACAGGGAGAAACGAGAAAGTAGAGGAACACATAGGAGAGGGACAAGAGGACTAGAGGAACAAGATGTATTATTTTATTAACTACCAAAAACTCAAGTTTCAAGACTTCCTCCTTATTTATAGACTAATATGAGGTACAGGTACTAACGGTAACCAACTAACAACCCTAACAAGCACTTGCTCATTTTATTATTGTCCTATTAGCATCATTCTTCTACCATATTTTTGGTCATTGATTTGGCTGATTACTGGAATACAGCCTCTGAGTGCAATATTTGATACTTCATGTTTACCAACCTCATGCTTGATGCTTAATGCTCATTAACCTTTTCTGCACTTGTCTAGTTAGGATTATAGATGCAAAGATAACTTTTTACATCTGCATTGCAAGAGGCATTTTTAGAACAAATTAGGAGTTAGCTTTTTGCCCTTGTTCGATGTTATCTTAAGCATAGGTAAGAAATCCATGTATATAGAAAGTTGAAATGCGCTGTTATGTTGCTGCAGTTTTTGACTGCCGTCTGCTGTTTTTATGATGGTGATGATGATGATGTAAGTTTGAATCCCTCCTCACAGGTGGAACTGCTTATACTGCAAGGACTTCTATCCTGTGCCTTAGATCTTTGAGAGAGTTCGCTTTGATTCTTGTCTCATTTTTTTATCACATATTTGCAGCTTACGTAACCTCCTCCATTTTGTAGGTGCGAGTACCGTTTCTGGATTTTTCGCATCAGCTTGCAGTTTGCCATTTGACTATGTCAAGACACAGATTCAGAAGATGCAGCCCGATGCTGAGGGAAAATTCCCATACAACGGCTCTCTAGATTGTGCTCTCAAAACTTTGAAAGCAGGAGGACCCTTTAAATTTTACACTGGATTCCCTGTGTATTGTATCAGGATTGCTCCTCATGTCATGGTATTCTATTCTAACTACGCATGTTTCTCTATGTCACTTTTAGATTGTAGGGTTCATTCCAGTTTGTTTCCTAACATTTTATATTATCTGGCGCAGATGACATGGATTTTCCTCAACCAGATTCAAAAATTGGAGAAATCAGTTGGGTTGTAGATCTCTCCAGGGATGGGCCCTTTGTGTTTGATTCAAGCCCAGCCTTAAATAATCTGGTGGCAATTTCACACCCACGAAGCTGTTCATTTTTTTGAGATTTAATCATGCTACTTAGGCGGGGTTTTAACATACCTTGCACCATCTATATACAAGGGTGTGACTGAAGTAGAATAGTATAGTTGGCTTTCTTGAATTAAAAATAAGTATATTCTACATCGAAGACGACATGTCAGCTTGTTTTCATTACGGAAGGATGTCCTCAGATCGAGAATAGAAGCACATCTTTCTTTTGTTATGAGCTTCCTCATTTTGTTCAGCTAAGAATTGGAATATAATTAATTATTTATATGGAAAACGTGTCCCCTCTATTCGTCGATTTGGTTTCCAGCTAATGCTGTTGTCAAAATGGTAATATCAAGAAACGCACCGGCACCCACCCCAAAGATACCCTAATCTCTTTTTAACCAATTTACTAGGGCTGGTAATATGAATTAATTTGTGGGCAGTGGATTTGATGAGGTGGGTTGGTATGGCTTGCATCTTACGTAAATTGTAATTCTACCAATTTGTAATAGGTTGGTGGGTTGGCAAGCCAACCTGCCAAGCCAACCCGCTAATAACAAAGTATTTTTTATAATTTTTTTAAGTTTTAAAGATTAAAAATTTACCTTTTATTATTATTTTTTTTTGATAAATTATGATAAAAAATCATATATTCCTCATAAAAATTAATTATTTAAATAAAAATAAAAATCTTTTTAATCAAGTTATGTTTATATCACAACTTAAATATAAACTATTTTAATTTTATGATCTTTTTATTCTTTAATCTTTTACATGATTGATTAGTATTATACATACATGAATTAATAAAAATGTTCTATCTATCCCATTTTTTCTTCATCCTATTTTGAATTGATGCCCTAGTTTAAAATATTAATTATTTTTTCAAAAAAAGAAAGAAAGTAATTATGATTTAAACTCTAACCATTAAATTAGTACTTATAATACATTTAGTTCATACCACTTAAACATTCGTATCTTTGTATCTTTTTTGTTCTTTTGTATTCAAATTAAGATGATAATATAATAAATATTTAACACTTTATAAATATGCTTAATTTTTTAAATAAAAATGATAAGTAAACTTTTTTATTTGCCAGCTTGGGTAGCACTATTTTGCAAGCAAAATAGTCTAAACTTAATCTCATTTAGTTCACTGCTTAAATATATGAGCAATGTGTTTTTATTATTTTTTATCATAATTTAAACTTGAATTAAATAAATGTAAAAGTGTTAAGTACTTAGACTACAATTTTATACATGCTTATTTTGAATGATTTACTTTAAACTTAATCTTATTTTTTTATTCTCTATCTATTTTTTCAAAAAAAAATTATAAGCGAGGTAAGCAACCAACCGCTGTAGATTTAAGTTATGTGAGACGGGCCAAAATCAATTCGCATCAAATTGAACCCATTTTCTCCAATCTAACCTACCAATTTTTTGTGGGTTGGTTGGATTACTAGCTCTACAATTTACAATTTATTTCAATTATGTTGCCGCTCTAATTATAGTTTATTGTTAATACAATGTTATGCCCATCACATGAGCTGGGCATTCCCTTGCTTGGTGCCTGGCTAGATGTATAGCTTGAACTAGCTTAATGCTCAAATGTTCAAGTTGAGTTTGGCCCAACTCAAAATATATTTTAAAAAAATATTAAAAAATTATCCTTTAACAAAAAATATAGCTACTATTATTTAAAACATATATTTTTATAAAATTAATATTATAATAAAAATAATAATTTTTTAAATTATATATGTTAAAAAGTTCTCAAGTATTTTATACATACCATCAAGTTAAAAATAAATTTAAAATTTTGAAAGAGATTGAAAAATTAAAACAGTAAAAAAAATGCCCATAAAGATCAAAAAAATAACATAGTATATAATAATTCTCAACAAGAAAAAAAAATACTACAGTATGTTTTTTTTCGGCAGAACGTTGGGCACCATGTGGTGAATGGTGGGACAATTCTCTTGAACAATTTTTTTTAAGGAGAAATATTACCCCCTATTAAATATCTATTAATTTCACCACTAGTTAACCCAAAAACTTATAAAGGAAAACTTAAAAAATTATAAAAAAAGACTCAAAAATTATAGAAGATGATCTTTATAAAAAAATTAATATCAATTACGTCCTTTAAATTATAAATAAATTCCAACAAACTAATATTATTACTTGCCCATATAAAAAACTAAAATATTATTTTAACCACTCATTTTGACTTGCTATTAGGTTATTATTACATCAACAATGCTAGCAATAAGCACAGACAAGTAATTAAAAACAATAATTTTTTAACATAACATCTAATTAAAATACTAATACTTTATTATTTGATAATTTAAATATTTGCAAATTTTTACACACAATTTACAAATCAACTTTTAAAATATACAAATTTCTAAAGGACTTATTAAATTTAGAAGACTTGTAATTTATCATACTATTTTAATTTAAAAATCACCAATAAATTTTTAAAAAATAGTTGAGCTATTAATATTTAAATTTATAAATTTTATATGGATACTTGTAAATAATAATATTTAAATTATTAAAGATTTAAAAATTTTACTAAAACAAAATAATATCTTTTTAATTACCTGCCAATGTTTTCAGCAATGGTGATTTAAAGCTTTTTTGCTTTGCTTTTCTCTACCCCTGACTACGCAATACTCTTTCGGTCCTACTTATAGAATAAAAATAAAGTATTTATTTTAATTCTATGTATAATACAACTAAATAATTATTATGTTCATTTTTATCATTTTACCTTTATTAAATGTCAAGGTGGTTATTAAATACTGAAGTATTTTATTTTTAAAATATAAATAATAGGAGTAAAATTAAAAACTTGTTGAATTTTTAAATGGAGTTAATAAAATTTAAAATAAAAATGTTAAAAATAACTTATAAATAAAACTATTCATGGATTTGCCATGAGACCAAGCTGCAGTTTTACTGAATAAATGTCACACACAATCATCATCTATTAGCGTTCGGAAAACAAGCATATCATCCTGCCATTTGACTGAACTCCAAATAATCCGGATATCTATAATTTTCCTTTCAATGGGCTCTCAGTACTATCAGTGTAATCAAAACGCTCATCTTATGCCCATATCTATCTGTCAAATAAATTCAACTTCCACCAATAAAACAAAGGAACTTTTCATCAACGAACACAGAAACTGCGTAGAAGAATCAGGGATGACTCAGTTCTCGTGACAAACATTAGCCTTGGATGTTTGTACTGCTCAAATCCCGTATCAAGACGAGCTATGCTTTGGCCCTGAAATGAAAAAAGATAATACATGATTATTGGCAACACTGGATTACAAAATATTGATTCAAACAACTCGTAAAATGATTCAAGACCTTACAGACAACAGGATCACAGGAATCGTAAGTTGTGGTAGGCGGCGAATAATTCATAACCCATTCTCCAATTATTAATTCATCGGAAAAAGAGAGGAAAAAGAGCACTCTCATCACTGGGATTTGGGAGTTTAATGCAGTTATAATTTTTTGTTGATTGCGGAAAAGTTTTCCCCACTTACATTTCATGAAAAGAAATTTCCTGTCCTGTAAATTTCCAATGATCTAGTACAGAATTAGACGGGTTTAGGGAAATAATAAATAAAGGAATCCTAATATGTAAAAATGGCTCGAGCAACAAAGTGACTTCAGTAACGATTACAATTAGAATGACAGATTAATCATTCCAGATCTCCACATGGTATCTAAGATTGCTCACAACTTCCTTTCTGTTTTTTCAAAGAGAGAAGAAAGAAATAAAAAGAAAAAAAAAAAGAAGGGCTAGAGATAGCAAAGGAAAAGAAATAGAATCAAACGCAAAAGAATCACATTCATCAATGAAAAACAGGATTGTACTGATTAGTCATTAAAGAAAATGAAAGAGAGTAAGAAAAAAGGATTGCGCTAAAATGAAAAGAAAATATCATCAATTTAATCATAGCAACCTATAATACAGCAAGTTACCTTTCCATGTAATAGTCATCCTCTGTATTAACAACTATTGCATCACCAACCACAACGTGGGGAGGCACCTATGACCATTTGTCATAAAAATAAACAAGACAAAGGCAGTTTAGCATCATCAGCTTTGAAGATTTAATTAATTTTTTATTTCTTTGAAATTTCATAGTAGGTTATTACAATGGAATAAATTTCTAGCAAAAGTTAATTTGACAGCGAGGGATATTTGGTTCAACTGATCGAGGAAGTTGAATTAGCTTATCTTGGAGTTGCTGGTGGTAATAACTGTCCCACACAACAAGGGCTTGGATTAGTTTGGGTGGGAGGTGATAGCATCCCCAAGTTTCTCTCGATACCAAGAGATGAAATAAAAAAAAAAAAAAAAGTTAATTTGACAGATCAAAGTGAGGAAATTAAAAAGGCGTAAGCATATATGCATACTATAATTGGGTGTAAGATGCCAAAGCATTGTTGTTTCATTTATGGCAGGCCATTGGGATATGCTGCTTCAAAATCTTTCACAAAATAGATAGATTGAAGTATACACATGCATCACCCTAACATGCTCGAAGACCTCCATCATTAAAAAATAAACAAATAAAACTTCCCCTACACTACCTAAAGCACCTAGAGCGATACATGGCAAGCCTCAAAATAATTAAATAACACCATACCAGTTCATGATTTCATTCACATATTATACTTGCATATCCTCCCCTATTTATAATAATAGAGGCATAGCTTGGTTTTCTAAAGACATCATATCCCCTAACTACCCCTTACTCTAATTACCACACCACACTAACTCCCACAAAAACCCCCTTAACACTTGAAAGTGATCGTTGCCCTCAAGGATCAATAGAAAGTGACTAGATAACACAATTTAATAATAACAACCTAAAAAAATTTGTCCATGTAAATTAAATAGTCCATTAATATAAGCCCCCTCCCCCCCCCCTCAAAAAAAAAAAAAAACCCCAAAATTTTATTTTTTTTAGTGAGTCCTCACGAATCTAGCATGTTTATAACCCAACTGACAGGTGTTAGCGATGAAGTATTGAATTGCAACTATCAATTAGTCCAGGCCTTTTTCCATAGACATCAAGCCTATTAAAAGCTCGAATAGGCCCAATTCTATGCTCCCACCAACCAAGATCATTTTGAACCCCTGCTACCCCATTCTGCTTCGTTGGATGCTCTATGGACTTTATCATCTCCACTTTCTCATTCTCTCTCCTTGTAATGATGTCAAATATTTTAGCATTTTGTAGTTGCAATTCCCTCTTGGAGTTGCAAAGTTCTTGCCTGGCTTGAATTGTTATTTTCTGGCATGTAGTCCATTTGAATTCCAATTGAGACGAAGCGGTAGTGTAATGGCAAGGGGGGCTGTTTATAGAGTTGTGAAGATATAGGATGAATTTCATAGTCACAAAACCTTGGGCTTTGGTTTCCAGTCGTGTCACAACTTGGGGGGAGTAGCACAACTCTGGTTGTGCTTTGCTTTTGTAGGTTAGTTGAAAAACCGAGTACCTTTTATGTTGGCTATTTATAAAATAAAGAAGTGTGGAATCACTTGACTTACTTCAACTATAATGCCATTGTCCAGTGCTACTTTTTTATTCCTGAATTCAAGAAGAAAAAAAAAAGTAAGCATAACAAGTTTACGTTTTCTAGCAAAAGAGCAGATGACTAAGAGAATAAGGTATTTTAATTCAAAAATTAACACCCTGGCTGCCACATATTTCATTATGAAAAATGAAAGAGTAAAATGCATACATGATGCAGTAAAGTAATAAGTTTCAAATGTGAAGCAAAGGATTATTGCAAGTATACCAGGACAACAATTGGTCACTGTTTGAATAGGGAATAGCCACTGAGAAATCGGATTTAAGATTTAAATATTTAGAGTAGACTCAAGCAAGGAGGAATTAAGTGAAGGAAATTTTGGACAGAATGTCAATTTGAGAACACCATAAAAATTCAAGGAGGATACAGGAAAAAACCCAGTCTTCAAATTCGCAACTTTTTAGGCAACACAAGTTGCGTGGGGGCTTGATGTTCTGACTCTGTCAAGGGGAAGATAAGCCCCAAGGTATTAAGCAAATGCTTGAGTCAATAAAAAGGGAGCTTCTAAGTTACTGCTTGCATATTTTACCAGACTATGTTCCGAAACAGACATAAACAAAAATGAAGATAGACTCAGCAGTGAGAGACAAGGTGACAAGACAACTAGATGCTTTCAAAAGCAAAACTAGATTCCCCCCCCCCCCTTCTGGGGTTCAGGCAATGATATATACCGTGGTGTGGCTGCAATCTCTTCCTTTACAGTACATGTTACACGCTTGGGAACAGATGCAGATAATGGTTTGTCATCATAAAACTGCACCTTAACTTTCATTTCATCTGCTAGTAAGGCAAAAATTTATGATTAAATAGCGAAGGAATGATGGAAATAACAGGAAGTTACATTAATAAAACTAAAAATGCTTCCTGCAAGTTAGCAAAGGGTGAAACCATTACCAAAAAGAAATGCAATGATAGCTTAAAGCATGTGAATAAACACTGCTGACAATAACAGCCTTGATAAATTTTTGGATGCTTAGGAACACATCAAAGCTTAAGTAGCTTGCAGCAATATATCTAATAATGAATCTTTGCACCGCTGACAAAGGGAAAAAACAAACAAACAAACAAACAAAACAAGACAAGACAAAACAGAAAGAAAAATAAAAGAAAAGATTGGTGGCGCACTGGTAGCTAATTGAGGCAAGAATGCGTTAGAAATCATGATTGTTGGGCCTAAAGCCAGCTGGATTTAGATTTGTTGATTCCTGTGGAATTTGGGAGAAAATAATCATTCTCATTCATCTGAATACTAAGTACATGCTGACTATATATACACAAGAGGAAATCAATACTAATAAAGTCTATAACAAAGCCTAATAAAGACTATACAATATTACAATAAATACCAAATATTCCCACACTCTCCCTCAAATTGGATCATAAATGCTAATCATGTCCAACTTGCTTATACAATTCTCAAGTGCAAGACCAAGCAACCCTTTAGTCAAAACATCAGCTACTTGCAACTTTGTAGGCAAATATGTCAAACATATAATTTCTTCTTCCACCTATTCTTTGATGAAGTGGCAGTCTATCTCCACATGTTTCGACTTGTCATGTTGTATTGGATTTAAAGCCATGCTTATGGCAACTTTATTATCACAATAGAGCTTCAATAGTGAACTTGCTTCGACCTATATTTCATTCAAGACTCATACCAGCCACAACTCCTCCGTTATTCCTTGAGCTAAAGCTCTCAACTCAAATTCAACACTGCTTCTTGAAACAACTCTTTGCTTCTGGCTTCTCCATGTGACTAGATCACCCCACACAAACAAACAATAGCCAAAGGTTGACCTTTGATCTTTATAAGTTCCACCTCAACTCACATCAGTATAGACATCTATAGATCTTTGCTCATGTTTTCTAAAGAACAGCCCTTTACCAGGAGTACTTTTTAGATCTCTCAAAATCCTATAGACTGCTTCCATATGACTCTTCATTGGGCAGCTCATATGTTGACTTGCTATATTAATAGCAAATGCTATATCTGGCCTTGTATGGGAAAGATATATTAGTTTTCCAACAAGTTTTTGATATCTCTCCTTGTCAATAGCTTCTTCCTTTTCTTTTTCATACTCCCCATCTAAGTTTTCTTCCTCCTCGAAGTCTCTCTCTTTTCCATTCTTGTCCTTGGGTTTCCTCTTCGATTTCTTGACCTCAATAAGAATTTCAACAGGTCGACAATCCAACAAACCTGTCTTAGTAAGAAGATCGAGTATATATTTTCTCTGAGAAACATAGATTCCTCTTCTTGATTTGGCAACTTTCATCCCAAGAAAGTATTTTACCTTCCCAAGATTTTTGACTTCAAATTCCTTGCCAAGGGCAGCCTTTACTCTTTCTATCTCCTCAAGGTGATCTCCAGTGAGCATTATGTCATCAACATATACAATAAGAATACATTTCTTGCTTCCCTCAACCTTAACAAACATTGTATGATCCGACAGGACTTGCTTGTAACCTTCAAACTTTAGGACTCTTGAAAACTTGTCAAACCAAATTCTTGGTGACTGTTTCAACCCATATATAGAGTTTTTCAATTTACAAACTTGATTTGCCTTGCCTTTATCAAACCCAAGAGATAGAGTTATATAGACTTTGCCCACAACTCTCCATTTAGAAAAGCATTTTTGATATCAAGTTGTTAAAGAGGCCACTCAAGATTAGCTGCTACAAATAATAAGACTCTGATAGTGTTCAATTTTGCCATTGGAGCAAATGTTTCTTCATAGTCCAAGCCATATGTCTGGGCAAACCCCCTTGCAACCAAGCATGATTTCAACTTGTCAAGGGTTCCATCTGTCTTGTATTTTGGGTGAACACCCACTTACAACTCACTGTTTTCTTTCCTTTTGGTAGCTGAACAAGTTCCCATGTCTCATGCTTTTCTAAAGCCTTCATCTCTTCCATAACAGCACTTCGCCATTCAGGGATACTTAAAACTTCCTATACAGTCTCAAGCACCTTCTCTTTATCAAGATTAGTAATAAAAGTCCAATATTGAGAAGAGAGTGTGTTGTATGAAAGAAACCTCTCTATTAGTTGGAAAGTACATGAGCGAGGTTGCTTTCTCAAAGCGATAGGAAGATCAATAGATTCACTTACTTGTTTTGCACCATTGAGTGTTGGGGTTTCAATAGTTACCCCAAATTCTAAGTCACCATGAGTTTCTACTTTAGGAGCTACCTCTAATGTCGACTCTCTTGATGCTTCAAGTACAAGTTGCTCATTGTCTTTAGATTTCTTTTCTCAAGTGTAAACTAAAAGTCTTCCTTTTGTGTCTTTCTGCATCTCCTCTTGTTGGTCTGTGTTACTTAGATTGTGGCATAAGAGGAGATGGTACTGAAAGGGATGTTGGAAGGGTAGATGAAGGTAATGCCTCAGGTTCAATAGGTGCAAACCATGGCTTAAGAAGCACTAATCCCTTGTTAGATTTTTGTTCCCAAGTCTGAAATTCACCTGTGCTCTCCCTCTGAATTGAACAATTGGGATAGAATGGAGTAACTTCATGAGAAGTGACATCAAGACTGACAAATATGTGTTTTGTAACAAGATCAAAGTATTTGTATCCTTTTTGAGTTGGAGGATAGCTAAGGAATATGCATTTGATGGCTCAAGATTCAAGTTTGGTGCTCTGGTGGTTAAGGACAAAGGCTGTGCAACCAGACACACAAAGTAGAAGATTGGTTTCAATATGGGATGTGGAGAAAATACTTTGCAACTTGTGAAGAGGAGTTTCAAAGGATAAAATCCGACTGGACATACAATTGATAAGATAGGTTGTAGTTAAAATGGCATCCCCCCAATAAAATTTAGACACATTATAGGTAAACATGAGTGCTCTAGCAACATCAAATATATGACAATTTTTCCTTTCTGCAACCCCATTTTGTTGGGCTGTACGAGCACAAGAACTAATACAGATAATACCGCGCATTTGGAGGAAAGTACTCAGAGATTGATTAAAATACTCAGTGCCATTATCAATGTGTAAGACTTGAATGGTCATGTTGAACTAGATTTTGATCATGTTGAAGAAATTGATGAAAGTAGATGCCGCCTCTGACTTGTGTCTTAAAAGATAGACCCAACAGACATGGGTATGATCATCAATGAAGGAAATAAACCATGTTATTTTAGTATGGTTGAAAGTACAAGAAGGTCCCCACAAATCACTATGAATAGTTGTGAAAGGTTTGGTAGGTGTGTATATGGCTCAAGGAAAGGAAGTCCCATGGTGTTTGGCAAGTTCACATACTTCACAATGAATGTTATTAATGTTCAAGTTTTGGTAGAGGGTTGGAAACAATTGTTTGAGGTAATGAAAATTAAGGTGACCCATCCTCTTGGGCACAACATAAAAGTATTAACTTTAAAGATAGATGCAGAGTTACCAACAATCGGTGACTTACCGATCCGAGTAGAGACTTTGAAATAGTAGAGCCCCTCATACTCCTTAGCACTTCCGATTGTCATGCCAAATGATAGGTCCTGAAATACACAATGGGGTGCTAGGAACTTAGCATAACAATTTGATTGCCTAGTCAGTTGACTAATAGAAAGTAAATTGCAATCAAGCTTAGGCATATGGAGTACAAATTCCAACACTATGGAATCTGAAATTCGAATACTCCCTTTTCTTGCTATAAGTGCTAATGAGCCATGTGAGAATGTTAAGCATTTATTGTAAATATTCTTAGTCTTTATTAGTAATCATTATTATTTTCTCATTTTAGTATATAAATACCCAGTTGTATTTCAGTATTCAGCATCAATGAGAAATACCTTCTTTGAAAATTCCAATGATATCAAAGTTGAGAGAGAAAACACCTAGGGTTTGCATTAAAGTTGGACCCAAAGTAGTGACTTGAGCATGGACGTGAGTGATGGCAAGGAGCATGATCTGGATCTCACCACCCATAGAAGGACCTCCAGCAGCCTCCGAACGGCTCAATCCCAGAGCATCGTCTCCATTGGCAGTGCGTGTGATCACACGCCTAAGCTTTGATTGGCATTAGAAGGTGCAAGGCGGCACATAGAGGCACATGCAAGGACTAGACTAGCAGGAATGCCTTCCTTCATCGACGACTTGGCATTTTCGATGAGAATCTGACATTCTCTGAGTTTAAGGAGTCTCTGCTCATCATTTCTTGGTCATGTGCTTCTTGTTCTATTCTCCCTCTCACTGTGCAAAGGGTCTCCATATGTGGGGCTGTGCCTTTTGACTTCTCTTTGTCATGAGAAAATTTTTATGGCCTTAGGGGTGCTAATGTGGGTCCTTCTATCAATTGCTCCTCATGTGACCAGAACCGAAGTTAGGGTCTTAGCAACAAAAGGAGGGAGTTTTCTTTAGGCACTAAAGACATCCCGAGATTCAACTATATGAATCATTGACTCAGGAGCATCTAATCATATGACTAGTTGTCATCAGTTATTTACTACTTAAATCTCGTGTGCTGAGAATATTAAAGTAAAAATTGCAAACAGTTCTTTAGCACCTGTAGCGGGAAAAGGGAGTATTCGAATTACAAATTCTATAGTGTTGGAATCTATACTCCATGTGCCTAAACTTGATTGCAATTTATATTCTATCAGTCAATTAACCAAGTAGTCAAATTGTTATGCTAAATTTCTCCCATCCCATTGTGTGTTTCAGGATCCATCATCTGGAGCGACAATCAGAAGTGCTAAAGAGTATGAAGGGCTTTATTATCTTGATTTCATCGATTGAGTAGGTAATTTCCCAATTGTCAATGATTCTGTATCTACCTCCAAAGTTGATGATTTTATGTTGTGGCATAAAAGGATAGGTCACCCCAATTTTCATTACCTTTAACAATTGTTTCCAACCTTATGTCCAAACTTGAATGTTCATGAACTTCACCGTGCAGCGTGTGAACTTGCCAAACACCATAGAACGTCTTTTCCCAAAGCCAAATACACTCCTACCAAACCTTTTACAACAATTCATAGTGACTTGTGAGGACCATCTCATACACCTAATCACATTAAAGCAACATGGATCATTTCCTTTATTGATGACCACACTCGTGTTTATTAGGTTTATCTTTTACGAAACAAGTCTTAGGTTGCATCCACGTTCATAAATTTCTTCAACATGATCAAAACTCAATTTAATACTACCATCCAAGTCTTACGCATCGACAATGGCATTGAGTACTTTTACCAATCTTTGAGTACCTTCCTCTAAGTGCACGGTATTATACATACTAGTTCTTGTACTCATACGCCTCAACAAAATGGAGTTGCTGAGAGAAAAAATCGTCATATCCTTAACATTGCTAGAGCACTCATGTTTACCAACAATGTGGCTAAATTTTATTTTTTTTATTTTTCTGGAGTAAGAGGATTTGTTAATCATTGTTTGCTTTTTCTGGACATGATAGGGAAAGATGATAGGTCTGGAAGAGAGGATGAGGTGAGAGAGATAAGGACAATATTGTCTTTTCCATTTTAAATATATATACAAGAAAAAAAATTCAAAGAATTCCATTCATTTTTTCCATCATGCCAAACATGCTTTTAAATTCAATTCCATTTCCATTTCTTTTTTTTTAGTTCCATTTCTTTTTCCACTCCTATTTCCACCAAAATGCTTCCAGTGAACCAAACAAGGGCATAGAGATCTATTTATAGAGAATATATTAAATACACAAACTACCCTTATATCCCTAATTCCCCTAATAACCCCTATTATTCCCAATTCCCCCGTATCAATACTCCCCCCAACAAGAGATCCTTGTCCTCAAGGATCAATACAAAAGTAGAAAGTAAAAAATATATCTAAAATAAGACTTTTCTAGTTTTTTTTTTAACCTCAAGTTGCTAATACTTGTAAAAAAAAATTGAAAACAAAATTACTGGACATCAAAAACCCAAACTTGCTACAGTTGTCCAAAAGCCCAAAATTGTTGCAGTTGTCCTTCAATTCATGAGCCCATTATTGCAATCCACAAGGACCCACATGGCACCCATTGCCAAAACTTAAGGCATCGTCCATCCAGATCCAATTTCATGCCCCAATTCCATCGAAAAGTTTTAGGGCTCCTAATTTGAGAAGCCTAAATCTAATCCAAATAAGGGCTAACAACACTTTTAATAAGCCCAAGTCCAATAGAGTTTTGATGATTAGCTTCACACCCAGGGCACACTTGATCTTGGAGAACGCTTTGAAACATGGAATCCGTTGACTCTTAGAGCAAATTCTCACTATCGTAGAAACATGTTCGCATAGCACAAGATTGACTAAATCCTAACAAAAACCCTAATTCCATGATAACTTGCAGAGCTCTACCTGACCTCTCTTCTTCAACCCCACCCAATCCAAGAACAACTTTTCTCCAACTTGATTCACCTCTGGGTTGTCTTTCACATTGACAATCAGAGTCCAAAGAGTCATTGGTGACAAATCCCTTTCCCTTGATAGATAGTGAAGAAAGTAGGCATGCCATCGATGAATAGCTCCCCTTCTTTCATCTCAAACCTGTTCTCATGGTTCTCTATCACCAAGTCTCGCTTTCCCCTCCCGCACTATAACAGCACCAACAACTATTTGGGTAGTTCCACCGGCATAACCGAAGACTGGCATTAGTGACGAGGAACCCAACTACTATACTTGCGGTGTGAGTGCCATGTCCGTCTCAGTCACAAGGGAACATGGCTTCTTTTTCTTTCCCCATGTAACTACCACCAAAAGCCATGCAAAAGCCCCTTGAGAAGCTATAAGGCCCCAATGAGCTTCTTGTTGCAAAATGATTTGTTGGAATCAAGATTAGATTCACACACTCTTTGAGCCCTAGGTGGGGATCTCACGCATCCCTATATCATCAAAGCTCTTGGATTCAAGCCACACCCCAATGCTAAGAATGCCAATGATTACATTGTGGCAAGCCTATTCACATGCCAAAGTGTTATGACCTTCCCACTGGCCAGATTGAGTTTTGAGACCTAGGAACTTCAAGGTTTGAGTTGTGTGAAGTGCATAGACAATGTCGAGACCATTACTGGCAAACTTGGTTGAGTTCTTCATCGCAGTTTTCATATCCCCAAGAATCTTGCCCATAGCGATGGAATTCAACTTCTCCAAAAGAAGCTGATGTTGGTAGAGGAAGCCTTCATCAGAGCCCCAGCCCCTTTGCGTTATTGAGTCAGACTCTTTGGTAATGCTCTCACCCTTGTCCTCATCCTCCAAGTCTAATTCTCATTGCTGAATCTTAGAGTCCCCCTCTTTATCTCTGTGTTTGGAAAGCTGAGACATAGATTGCTTACAATCAAGGTGGTGCTCCAGTGAGGATCGAATCTCTAACAGCTCCTTCATGGCTAGAGAAGAGGCTCTGATACCTTTAATAGGGGTAGAAGAGAGAGGTAGAAGGGAAATAGAGAGAAATAACAATTCCATTCATACTCATCCATTACAACATAGAGATTTATTTATAGAGAACATACTAAATACCCTAGCCACTCTTATATCTCCAATTCCCTTAATTACCCCTATTCCTAATTCCCATGTATCAAAAGTCATCTTTGCACTTGGTATCTCTTAACCTGACAAGGACCTAATGAGAAAGGGTGGTAAGCCTAAAGCTGTGTAAACCATCATGAAGGTAAGGGAACCCAAAGTTATGTGAATCATCATGAATGCCTAAGAACTTGACATTTTATGAACCTTCATTCCATCTTGCATACCTTGTTCAATGCAATATGCCATCAATTTTAGCTCAATGAGAGCTATGAAAGACAAAAGCTGTGGCTCCTCATCTGAGACACCCACTTCTTGCACAAATTTAGTGAAGGCAGGAAGAAAGAGAGGTAAAAAGTTTATTCAAGATAGCTAGTAAAAAGTAGATAGCTCGTAGGTCTACTAGTGGAAAGGTTCTTAGAAAGCAACTTGCTACGATGGTTAAATGCAAGTTTTCACCAACAACTGGTGGTATAGAAAAGCCCCATCACTATGGCCCTGCAACAATTTGATGTGTCTTTATAATTCAAACAAGAGAGAGAGAAAAGAGGGAAATAGAGAAAGATATAGGAGAGGGATTAAGAGGAGGATAGGGACATGAGAAAAGGAACCAAGTCTTATTCCATAGATCTATACACCGATACACACAAATTACAATCGCCCCTTATTCCCTTTTACAAACAGTAATCAACTAATTATCCTAACTACCCCAAATCACAACTAACTACTCTTTGTTATTATAATATCATATCAAAATTACTCTTCATGAGATCAGGAAATACCAAAAAACTATTGCCCCGCTTGCTCAATCAGGTAAAATGTCAATAGTTTTCAACATTGAAATGAACTCTAACCAACTATGAATTATAGATTTAAGGGTAACCGACCACAAGATTGGAGATGCCTCCATCTTAGGACTTATAGATTACAAAGACCTTTTTCTTTTTTTAGGGCAAAGGGCAGCCATATTAATAGCTACACACCTTATCAACCAAATGCCATCCAAGATTCCTCAACAAGCTTACTTGGAACCTACCCAAACTTACAAACCATGCACACCTTACCTTTGAAGGTTTTTGGATGCGCATCTTTTATTCACATTGACAATGGGGGAGACTTGATCCAAAATCCCTCAGATGCATGCATATTGGTTACTTGACAACACAAAAGGAGAATAATGCTACCATCCTACAACACAAAAACACAACACCACCATGAAAGTTACCTACTTTTGAACATCAACCTTTGCATCCTAAAATACCCACTCAAGGGAAGTGCCAAAACCAATGAAATGAATGGCTGGTTTTGCTGAAATCTCAACCTGCCTTAATCCAAACTGAACAAAAACAACAATCTCAGCAAGGAAAAGCTATACTCAAGAAGGAAAAAAAGGACAAGGCAAGGAGGAAGTCCAGTCTTCTTCCCTAGGAAAGGACCAATCATCTATATCAAACTTGAACAAAAAGAGAAATAGGCAGATCTTGAACAAAAAGAGGATGAGGCAGACTTCCTTGGAGTAGAAGCTCAATTGGGGGGTAGGGGGGAATCCAAATCAATCAACTATGCACTGTGAAAAAGAAAAAGAGCAGTGAACATGGATGGCAAGTAATAAGTGTTAACTATTTATTGACCTCGTAGATATGCAGCATTCTTGCCAAACAAGTCTCTAGACAACTCCACTTGATCCAATGTATCAGGGCTGGCCACATTTACACAAAGAAACCAGATTTATCAACTTGACAATTTCTAGCACAGAAAAGCAAACTAAGATGAAAGATGTAAGAACTCACTCCATCAACAGTACTGTGCCATCAAGATCCATGCACATATACATGAAATTTTTTTCCTGCACAAAGACTCCTGCAAATATTTATATGATTTGAAAGCATGTAAAATTAACACAAAGCAATTAATAGTCAGCGCCCAACAGGAACAAACTGTCCCAAGTCATCAGTAATCAGAGAAAACAAATGCTTTTCACTATTCAACTTTCAAACAATCATCTTCTAAACTACGAATTAACCGAGGCATAGAAAAAGTACAGCCTGTGAACAGGATTAGATTAGCAGAATAAAACAAGACAAAAGATTCACTCTTTCACTTGTTTACCAATTAATTCCTTTAGTTTGTGTGTTCCTTCTTGTGGGGAGGAAAACATACAAATTAACATAGCAATACATTTGGGGGAGGACCTTCTAATTCAGTTATACTGAATTTAACAGGAATGAGCAAAATTCAAGATTAACAAGTATAATCACGCAAAAACTAATTTCTCTCCTTCCAACCCTCACCCACCCAAGAATAAGGCTTATTGTTTTATACAAGATATAGATATGTCTTGTATATAGCTTAACTCACCTTAATTTATAACTCTTAATTCAAGCAGAAAACTCAGATTACTCGGACACACAACTGTTATGGCACAATATTCAATGGGAATAACAAAATAAGAGTGATATTTCCTAAGTTTGTGATCTTAATATAAGATACACATCATCATTTAAGAAATGCAGGCACACACCAAAAAACATAATATCCTCCTAAAGTCAAACTACACGAAAACCATGGAAGGAGTAAAAAGAAAAGAAACATCAACTAAGCAGCATTTGCCAATGTATTTGCATATCTACCAAAGAGACTAGTCTAAATTGATCACCGATAGAAATCAATAAAGAGGCCAAAACTACTTTCTTTTCCTACAAGAGATGTTGTAGCAAGTTTCATCCCTGAAAATTCAGATTTTACTTTCAGATTGTTACAGAATAAACAATGGCATGCATTGCACATAGCTGAAGGTAGAGAACCCTTTTTTTTCAACCCCCCAAAACCTCTGAAATGACAGATCAGGAAGAACTCCAAACTAGCAGGACAGATCCGTGTTAACCAGAAACACAATACCTGAGATGCCTTCCAGTTGGGAATTACAGGACTCTCTCATTTTAGTTCATTCAATCCATTTATAGTACACATTTCTTCCTCTTTGGAATTTTGAGATCTCATCAGCTTTAGGTTGTGATTGGATTTTAGGCTCTCACTCTCTTCATTTCCTCATGATTCTCTTACTTTGACTAATTATGCCCGAGCAGAGGTAGCACTTTCCAATTCCTTGGCACTAACTTGATTTTTATTTTAAAAAAGGGTGAGCCATAACATAAAGTTACTAATCCTTGCATCTAAATCATCAATCTACAAAAATATGTAATAGCAATTTTGTCCAGCAAATCATACTGACATATAGAAAGAGAGGGGCATACTTTCAACATCCTCATCTGTGCCAAACCGTTGGGTTACCTTGTTTCCATAACCAATGTCACGAAGTTCCACCTATTATCAAAAATAGCACATATTGAAGTTATAGTTTAGAAAGAAATTAAAAAGTAAAGCAAGTCCATAAGTTGCAAGTTCATCACAAACAGCAGCAAAAAGAAGTGATGCATTTGGCAACCCAAGCAAAGAAATTGAATTTACTTATATAAGCACTTGACTGATAAAACTTGACATTGAAGATTGAACCTAAATTAACACCCTCTAGGGCAAATTTCATATCCATTCAAACAAAAGATTGAACCTAAATTAACACCCTCTAGAGCAAATTTCGTATCCATTCAAACAAAAGAATAAATAAGTTGTCATCCAGATAGATTGACAAATGTCATGAAAATTAACTAATTATTAGTCAACTCAAATCTTTCAAAGCAGTAGCTTCAATGATCAGAGTGAAATCGATTTATCCAGCAGAAAAGCCTGCATGCTTTTAAATGTTTTCCTGATAGGTTCATAGATAATTCTCAACAATTGGATTTAATCTGATAAACTTGCAGAAAAATCAATAAAGAAAACCTTATGGCTATGCATATACTGTTCAATTCTAAGAATAACTAGTTACTTGGCTTAATGAAAAGAAAAGATAACAATTGCGAAGAGGAAAGAGAATTTTGGTCAATACAAGAACATTACTATTTGTCTACATGCAAAACAAAGTGACATACTATTTCTCAGCTCACTTGCCTCACCCTATGGTCTATCGTACAAGTTAAAAAGGCAAAAAGAAATATCTCTTGATGCAAACTTTGTATTACAAAAGGGCTCTGTGACAACATGGAGTTGGTTGTAGGGGCTAAGCATAACTTGAAGAGAGTATGGCGCCGAAAATATTTCTCTTCACATAACAGCCAGTGAACCTTACTACCGTAGACATTATGTTGATACATGGAAGCCTTCAACAATAATTCACCATGCTACTTCACTATCCTGATTCAAGACATTTGGAAATATACAACTCCATATGAACTATTCTATTTCAATTTGGAAAAGCAGCTAAAAAATAAAGGACCAAGTCATCTAAATAAATTGTTTGTGTAAAGCAGCTATCCAATCAAGAATCCTTAAAAATGGAATGAGAAAACTTTTATTAAAAAAAAAAACCTTGATTGTGGCTTTTCCTCTTCCTTCATGAGAGTGATCTACTTTAAGGACCTAATCCAAGTTACACAACCATATCAGAACAGATGCTGGAGAACAAACTTCAACAGCTATAATTTTAATAAATAAGTTCCTTAATTAGTGAATAAGTACCTCATATATCCGCCCTGAAAGCAGCATATTCACAACCAAAATAGAAATGCAAGGTGAAGATGTCATCAAAAAAACAAAAGACAGAGAAAGAAAAAGTAATGCAGGGTGAATTGTTAGTAACTACACATATTATAAGAGATCGCCCAAATTAAATCATATTAAAATTCCGTGATCCAAAGAAACCTTGTTTTTCAATGATATTTCCAACTCTGACCTGCATCACAAGTAAGAAAATCCATGAATCTGATCATATCCCACAACAGAAAGTAGAAGATAAAATCTTATGTTGTACGGAAAAAACCATCTATGTAATAATGACAAACAAAATCTGAGTATTGCTCAGCAGCCGGAGCCTGCAAATATTTATATTTACCATCACAACCATCTACAGATTTTTCATTTAGATTTCAATTAGACATTCTCTTCACTTTCTTTCCCTTACGCTTTGATCTAACCAAACATACTTAATGGTACAAACTAAAAAAATTACAATTCAGGGTTTTCAAAAGTTCTTTTCCAAAAGCTTAAATTGACTACTCGTAAAAAATGTTTCTTTTTTGTATTAAAAACAAGATTATCCGATCATGCATTTGAAGAAATGCAGGTATGCAAATATGTACAGTTGCAGCAAGCTGTAGCCCCGACAATCGTGTGGGAGTAGATCTTTATTCCCAAAATCTCATCGACGCTTAGACAAACTGGGGGAAGAGAAAATTGTATAAATAGCTTACATCAGAACCGGAGACTTTCATCCACCGACACTGAATGGCGGACCATGGAGAGTTAAGTAAGTTGACAGTAGATGAAGCCCTGATGGTGCGACTGGTGGCCAGAGAGGAAGCAGAAACTGGAGAAGGTTGAGAATTCGACGACGATGGAGGCAGGACAGAAAAGGCAGAAGAGAAGATTGATGATGAAGAAATGCCAAGGTCGGATGAAAGTCGAAGGGAGGAAGTTGATGCGAGGAAGAGAGGTTTGCACAGCCTCTTGCTCCGCTGCACTGCTTGCATTGTAGCTTCTTGCGGACAAACGTTCAGCGGGACCACCACGGGCGCTTGGAGCCTTGCTTTTGTTGTGTTGACAGCGCCTTGAACCAGTAGACTTTCAAACGAACAGTTTAAATAAAAATGCCTTGCTAATAATCAGCCTAGTCAGGATTTTTTTACTATTAAACCTTGAAACGTTATTTTGAATGATGTGATTTTCCTTGGATTGGATGTCACGTATTTTCAAATCAAGCACAACACAATCTAAAATTTTACTGCAAGATATTAGGCCTAGATTGAAATAAAGCTGTAAAACAAAATGATCAAAATATCATTATTCCACTGAAATTTAATAAGTGAGGCAAAATTTTTAACAAATAATATAGTTGAGTTTACTAATTATAATAGTAGCTTAACAAGTAATAGATTTAACTTATCACATTGACTTTGCTAGTAAAGTTATATAGTTAGCAAGTAATGTAAGAAAATGAACAAGTTAAGGAATTAATATATCTTTTTAAATATTAGTAATCATGTTTGTTACGACGTACAGAACATATAACATGAGAAATTAACAAGTAAAATAAAGTTTTTAACATATAAGACCTGTTTGGATTTTAATTGAAAAAAAATTGATTATCAAAATGTAATGGTGTTTGGATAAATTTTTAAAAATTAATTTTGTTAAAATTGGGGTTTAGATTTCTAAATGGAATGAAATTTAGCGTCTCCCAAATGGAGTTTGGGAGGCCAAATGGAGTTTTAAAAAATTGAGGTGTTTTGATTAAAGTTTTCAAAACCATTATGGAGCCAAATTGATTTTCAAAGTATCCAAATAAGCTCATAATATAGTTGATTTTACAATATATGATAATGGTTTAATAAATTACAATTTAAATTGCCACATAGACTTATATTGTTGGTAAACTATATTTCTTATTAAATGTTTTAATCCCTTGTGTTACTTGTTTCGTTGCAACATATTGCAAAAGAAAATTTTGGTCATTTTAATTAGGTTAAATATAACTTTTAGTCCCTATACTTTACTCATGTTTTATTTTTAATTCTTACTTTTTTTTCAGTGTTTTAAGTGCCTATACTTTTATTTTTCATTATTTTTAATCTCTCTATAAGCAAAGATCCTACCTTGGAAGGACCAAAAATATTGAAAAATAAAAGTGTAGGGACCTAAAACACCAAAAAAAAATTATAGGAATCAAAAGCAAAACGTGAATATTATACAGGAATCAAAAGTTATGTTTACCCTTTTATTTAATAATATTATTTCAATTTGAGCCTAACATCATACGATGAAATTTCCAAATGTTTTGGCCTTTGCTTAAAAATATGACGCATTCATGGTCCTTGAAATTCTCCCAAAAATATGACAATGATTAGTTGCCAACAAAGTTTGTTATAGGGAAATATGGCATTGATAGATCACTCTATATTCAAAATTGTTGTAGTAATTATGTGTGTGTCAAAAGAAGTCCCACATTGCTTAGATGAAGAGTGCTCCTAGTGTTAAATACTAAGAAATGAAATAGGCTAGTAAAATGGGCTTGGAGGATAAGTGGGTTCACGCACATGAAACAAGTCAACTCAGGGCAATCGCAACTGAAAATAGCCAATTTGCCCCCTGCACGAGAGTTCAAGAGGTGCTAAGTTCCTTTTACTGGATTTTTTTTTTGAAAAATAAATAATTATTTATTTACATGAGCTAACCAGAAAACCTTGATTCTTAGCTATTTGAAATTTGAATTCAAGCTTAAACATTTTTTGGCCTTTAAACAGATTCATAAATATATTTGTATTAATCAAATCCATGATGTGTTTGTCCCCAACGGCCCTAGGAGTAATGCGTACGTGCGTAACTAAGGATTTATGCTATTTTATGTTCATGTAATTAAGGCTTAATGGTGTTTAATTTGCTGATTATGAGCCTAAAGTTCATGTCTATGGTTTCTACCTACATATAGGCGAGGGTGCAGAGAGGATGAGGTGCCAGACTCTAGAGTTTTCAAGCCACTTCTTCCCTCCTCCTTTGTCTATGTGCTATGTTCATCTGAGTTGCTTTCTGGTCAGTGCTGTTATTCTGTTGCCTTTTTTTGTGCAAGACATGCTTGTTTAATCTTGAAAAGTTTGTCATCCAGGTGTGTCAAAATAGTTCTTAAGGACAGTGTCTTTCGACATGACTCAAGCAGCTCTCAGTTTACCTCCATACCGCCAACAAAAATGAGGCCGTAGAAAGGCATCATAATCGCTTAGGGATTAATTATTTGTCCACACCAAAATTCCTAGCGAGCAATGCTTTGAAATTTAGAGATTACAATTTGCATTTTAAATTGGATTCTTTTCCGGAAGCCTTACCAAACTTTTTGTGAAAAGAAGCTCGAAACATGGCAGTTATAAAAAGCTCTAATGGGCAAGCATAACTCCTGATTTTTGTGAACAATATCTATAGTCAACTAACAAACATAATGGGTAAAGGAATGAATTGGGAAGTCAATATGGGGTTAGAGATAATAAGCAAAATAAACCTTAAAATATTGTGCTAAAAATACCCTGGACTTTGAACTTCTAAAATATGCAATGGACCCTAAACTTTTAAATTCATAACAAATTATACCCCCCATTAACTGCTAATAAATGTTGTTACTATTCATTCAGTGGGGCCTAGTCAAAATGTTGATGTGGTAATCCCTTGCTAATGCATCATTTTTAATTAACACCATAGACCCTAAACTATTGTTCAAGTAATATCTTGGCCCCTAAATTTTGAAATTCCAAGCAAATTATAGTCACCGTTTATATGTAAAATGCTAACTATTATGTAGACCAAATTAACCTCAATATGGCCTACTGCGATAAATGCATCGTTGGCCACGACAAACGACCCATAATTTTATGAAATGACTTTTTTGCCCCCTTTTTTGTAATGTTTTTCAAACGATTTGTATCTCATACTTTCATATACTTTATAACCTTAATTTAGTATTGCTTTGAATAATGTTTATTTATTTAATAGTAAAAATATAGGATCTCATTTGAAAAGAAGTTTGAAATTTTAATTAATCGGTTAATTTGGGTTTGAAATCCATTGATAAATTATTGTCTTTCGCATCTATTGCTTGTAAAATTCTCTAATACTTAAACTTTTTTTTCAAATAAGATCTCAAGTTTTCATCATTAAATAAATAAACATTATTCAAAATAAGACGAAATTAAAGTTATAGAGTATATAGAAGCATGAGATATCAATCATTTGAAAAACATTGCAAAAAAGGGGGAAAATGTCATTTCACAAAATTATAGGTCATTTGCCACATCCAATAATGCATTTACTGCAGTAGACTATGTAAGGCTAATTTGACGTACATAATAGTCAATGTTCTATACATAGATGATGGGAGTAATTTTCTTTGAATTTTAAAGTTTAGGGTTAAGGATGCTACTCGTGCAATAGTTTAGGGTTTATGGTACTAATTAAAAATAACACATCAATAAGGGATTACCACATCAGCATTTTGACTGGGCCTTATTAAGTAACAATAATAGTATTAATTAGTAGTTAACAGTGGGGTTTAATTTGTTATGGATTTAAAAGTTTAGAGTCTATTTTGCACATTTTAAGAATTCAGGATCAAGAGTGCTTTTCGCGCAATACTTTAGTCTATTTTGCTCATTAACACTATAAGGTTATAGATATAAGAGAGATCAGGAATTATACACAAAGCCAATAATTTGGGAATATTAGATCAAATAATTTCAAAAAAATTTAGCATCGAATTTTAAAAATAGTAATTTTATATAATTTAGTCTTATTCGAGTTGGCCAAAAACTCTAGCTTACATAAGCAATGTCATGACAATTTTTATCGTTAACAAGTTATCTACCTTCAATGGTTTTTAGTGTTGTTTTACCTTTTTAATGCCCTTTTTCATGAAGGTGTGGTTATCTTAAATAAGCAAGTCACATGAGGATCCATGACCTTTTAGGTACTTCTCTTCGTGCTTTAATCTAATGTAGTCTTACACTTATACTTAGTGTAAGTTTGATGTCATCATGCATGCATTTTGGTTCTATCATGTGATTTGAACAAGCCTTTTGTTTTTCTAAATTTTCCAAGCAAGTTTTTGCTAGGTATGTCTATAGTCAAATTTCATGTAACATGTCGGACACACATATATTCATGATCAGTATCTCCTTATACCCTCCTTATTTCTTCCAACTGAAATCGTGGGCTATAATATCAATCAGGGCTCCATTCGTGTGAATAGATTGCTTAAGCTCTCTAATTGTGAGGCTCTCGGATCACAGCTTTCCCTATTCCTGAATCTTTAAGGTGTCGTATACCTTAGGCTAGTCTCCTTGACAAACAGGGAAGGATGGCTCGATTCTAGTCCCTTAACAAACTATAGGATAGTCCTTCGATAAATTGTAGGATAAAGCTAGTTTTCGTGCATCAAAAGATAGCCACAAATACCATATAGATTTTATCTACTCCTCTTTTTAGGTGAACTTCTGCTAAATGATCATGCAATGTAATATACTTACTTATTTCACAATTTAATTTACTCTACATCAACACATTAAGTTTGCACTATAATGCTACCCTAAGTGAACATCAATATTATTTTCTCAAACATTCTCTACTTCAATTCTCAATTTCATAACACGAGTTAAATTCTCATTTATCCACATATGGAATATTCACATGCTAATACAACAACACTATTATCACATCACATATCATACACTTCTCATTCCAATACATATTTATAATTTAAAAATTATTTTGAATTCAACTTCACATTTCAGGTAAAATTAAGGTTAATACACTATTATATAGTTTATGGCATGCTTTCACATTCATAAATAAATTCAATAATACATGCAAATAAACTGATTTTCACATTATATCTCAATTAACAAATAACTACCCAAAGTAAGTTTCCCTCGGTTACCTCAAAGTTTTGATAGGTTAAAGGTTTACTCCTCAATAACTTTTGCCCAAGCTTACTCTTCAAGCCCAATATGATGTGCAGAGTGATTAATTTACAATTAATCAAACCAACAATCATTGTAACATCCTTG